GGGGCGCCAGGCAGCCCCGGGAAGCGGTGTGCCCCACTGCTTGCCAGGGGCTGGCGCCAAGCAGCTTCTTGCACTGGGCGCGGCCGCGCCGGTGGCCGCTCCCTGCCGCCAGGCCCGAGGAGCCCAGCCCCAGCGGAGTGGACGCCTGTCCCTGAGCCTGGCCAGTGGCATCTCTCGGCCTCGTGGACACGGCTGTGGGCAGCCTCCCGCTCCAGGGGCCACGCTGGAGGCCGCGCCGGGCTGACCTGCCGCCGGCTGTCCCGCCTTCGACTGCGCCCCGCCCGGGCCCCCGGTGCCCTCGCGCCACGACCAGACGCTTCCCTGCAGCCGTCCGTGCGGGAGGCCGGCGGCCTCCAGGCTGTGGCTGTGGCACCCCAAACCAGGGGAGTGCGCCCCCTTCCCGGCTGCCCCCACCAGCTCGACGTCTGTCATCGCTGCATCGCGGAGAGGAGAGCGGCCAGAAGACGGGACGTGGGCCCCGGCCTGCCTGCCGTGTCCTCGGTGGTCCGGGCGGCCCAGGCGCGGCCGCCCTGCGCCCTCCAAGGCCCTCGCTGGGCTGCGCCCCTCAAAGGGCGGGCAGGGCCCCGTGGGGCCCCGCAGCTGCGCCACCTGCGCCCCTCTGGAGCCTGTGGGCCGGGTGGGGGCTGAATGGGCGCCGCCCCATGCCGTGCCTCCCACTGGGCAGTGCTCCCCAAGAGGGCCCATCTGCACCCCACGCCGCCTGCCCCCCCAGCTTCCCTGGGGCAGGGCTAGAAACCAGGCTCTGCCCAGCAAAGCCCCCCGCCTCCCCAAGCTGGCTTCTGGCTCCGGGTCACACCTGCACCTCAGAGGCGCTTTCTCTGCCCTTCGCCCGCTGGTGCCGCCCCGACCTGAGCACGAAGAGGGGGTCGGGATGCACCCCAGGGTGTTGCAGCAGCCACCCCGAATGGCTGCCCCCCAACATGAGAGCAGGTGCAAGGATGGGGTCAACCCTCCTGCTGCACGCGCTCGGCCTGCTGCTTCCGGGAGGACTGCCCAGAGGCCGGCAGCCAGCCTCCTGGGGGCGACCCGTCCAGGAGCTGCTGGCCCTGCCGACCCGCAGGCCGAGGGCCCCGCTGTGCCCCAGCCAGACGCCCACAGAACCCCGCAGACGGAGTGTCCCGGCACGGAGCCTCCCGAGGGTGCGGCCGTCGGC